GTGCCATATGTTTCTGCTGCAATCAGACTGAATACCTTCTTGAAGAACGTGAGATCACTACCCGGTGGGGCGTAAACATTACACAAAGTAACTTCTTTATGTTCCAGTTTGCCCCTTATTAGAATGTATCTACCTTCTTTGTCTTTATGTTCTGAGACAAGTTCAAAGGATACAGAATTTGAAATCAGTATAGCAACACCTCTTACGTTCCCAGATCTATGGGAAGAGAAAAGGGAATTTCCTTTTTTTTTTTAGAACTTTTTATTTAAACATTTTAATTTCAATTCAATTCAGTTCAATTTTATTTGTAAAGCGCCAATTCATAACAGAAGTTATCTCAGGACACTTTTCAAATAGAGCAGGTCTAGACCGAACTCTTTATAACATTATTTACAGAATCATTAATCGTTTTACATAACATTTCCTGACAGATATATAAATGTAATAAACAAATGACAGGCAATATAGGTTACAATAAGAATAAACAAAAAGAAAAGAAAAAGAAAAGATTAGATAAGTAAATATGAAGCAAAATAGAAATAGGTGCCTAAAAAAAAAGATAAATAAGATAAATGAAATAAAAATAGAATAGTTATAATATTAATAATAGTAACAACAACAATAACAACAACAGGCAGAGGAGTAAATCCGTACTCAGTACTCCGTCACATCATCCATCCATCAGACCCCCAGGTACCTTAAAATACAAGTCCATCTTTGCACAAAAGTGTCCATAGTCAGCTGCAGACTTGCCATCATCCGCTCCATCCTGTATACATTTTTCAGTCTCTGGACCCATTGGCCTATTGTTGGCGGTTTTACATCCCTCCAGTTCACTGTAATCATTTTCTTTGCTACTAATAAAAGAATCCTCAGAATATATCACTGATCTGCATTATATAGGTCTTTGGGTATGGCTCCCAACAAAAACAGCATTGGTTCTGGAGTGACATCTACCACCAAAATAATATCAATTTCCTTTTAACATTATCCCAAAATCCTTGTATTGCCGCACAATCCCAAAAAACGTGTGTGGTGTCTCCAATATTTCCACATTTTCGCCAACATAGTGCCACATTGGGGTTTTTCACGTATGAAGAGATGATGAAGGGAGTATTAAAAAATCTGATCTTTACCTTCCAGTCAAATTTTTTTCCACAGTTGGCTACTAATTCCCTTATGACAACTTGTCCATATGTCCATCCATGTAGAATCTTTAATTATAACATTCAGTTCTAATTCCCATTTTTCCTTAATGTAGTCTGTGTTTTGTGAAGTGCCAGTCGTTAACCTTTTATATATATTAGATATGTGTTTTTTCGTTGGGAAATGCCTCTCCAGAACACTAATAAAGTACTCTTCTATTTCATTTGGGTTTTTGCTGACCAGCTCCCTTTCCTTATGGCTTGTGATATAGTGTCTTATCTGGAGGTACCCATACAAATCCTTTGATGGGAGGTCAAATTGTGCTTGAAGTTTCTTTAAAAAGTTGATGAATTGTACAGAGACCTTTATCGGCCCACCTTCTAAACCCTCTATCCCATACGGAAGGTGGGAATTCTATATTTCCTACTATCAACATGGCCCTTGAGGTAACCCTTAACCCACTAGTATAATACCCTCACTTTTATCTGCTAGTAGAGTTGCAACTTTTTTGATAAAATGTGGGCAATCTTCAGTTGGGGCATACACGTTAAGTATGGTTATCTTTATTCCCACAATTGTGCCTATCACCATAACATACCGGCCTTCGTCGTCTTGAAAGATTTTCTCATTGTTGTAGTACACCGATTTATTAAATAGTATAGCAACCCCTCTCTTCTTTTTCCTCCCATATGATGCACTATAAACCTGATCCACCCAATCTCTCCTCAGTTTTAAATGCTCAGTCCCAGACAGGTGTGTTTCCTGAATTAGAGCAGTGTAACTTCTTTAATTGTCCCAAAATCTTTTTCCTTTTGATCGGATTATTATTTCCTCTTATATTATAAGTTATGAAATTCAGCTCAGCCATGGACTTCGTATAATCTTACGATATTGCTCCCTACCTGTTTACACTTGGATGTCAAAGTGAATCTAATCATTAACAAAACAATGCCTGTAACATGTGTCAGGAAAAACAAAAAACAAAGAACACTGTATATAACACAGAACTGAACTTCCACCTCATCAACCTGACGCAGTGGGTGAACTGTGGCTGCGCTAGCTCCCTGGTGATATTGGGGCAGAGAGGTGTGACCTACCCTCTCTGTGGGGAATAAGCACACACAGTGCAAGTGTGATCAATATTACACTAACATGTAAAAAAGGTCCGGATGAGTGTATACCACTCATGTACTCCAGCATATCCTCCTTCTGACTATCTAACACATTACCTTATGATGTGACAACAATATATGTTATTTATATGTGTACGTTAGTGACGCTTATGGTATTCCTATAGGTCCGTTATTTATATAACCTTACCACTGGTTTAGTTGAAACAAACTTTTTATCCATCTTAATGGTAGATTCTCTTTAGTCCTCCTCCTACAGGAGGGCCCTGAGATCAGCTTGTGACAGAAACACTCCCTTCTTTCTCCTCTCTTGACTCCTCCATCCATCCTTCAGCTCCTCCTCGATGCGCTCCCTCTCCCCACAGTGCACGTCGACCCCAAGCTCCTTCAGCAACACCGCGGCACTCGTTAGTGATGTGAAGGTCTTCTCCCCTGTGTTCAGCAACACTCTCAGTTGTGCTGGGTACAGACTGTTCGCCTGCATGTCCATCTTTTTAAGCTGTTTGATAACTTCTCGGACCCTCGTTGGTTTCTGCTGTAGATTGGGGGAGTAGTCCTGATCAAAGTAGATGCACTTGCCCTGAAAGAGGACTGGCCCCTGGCTCCATGCCTGCCTTATGACTGTGTCCTTCACCGCTGCATCAAGAAATCTCACTATAATCGATCTTGGTGGAGCTGTTGCATCTTTAGGTTTGGCCACCAGTGACCGATGTGCCGCACCGACTCTCTCCCCCAGTCCTCCCATTCTCTCTTCGTGTTCCGCCAGCTGGTCTTTTATGTCGGAATTAGTTTGTTCCACACGGCTAAGGGCCAATTAAGTGTAGTTGTCCGTCTTGATTTTCTTCTTGAGTTTTTTTAACTCCTCCAGTATCGTCGAGTCCGACTGACACGTGTTGCTGCTAGCCTTGGTTTTGCTAGTTGGGCTCGGTGGATTCGGCTTATTATCATCTTTTCCCCATGAGGGGTCAGGTTTATCCTGTCTCTTTGCTGCAAGCCCACCCATGGCATCACTGGAAGTCAGAAAAAGAAATTTCTGAAGCCCATTTTCTTCAGTTTCTCATGTTCCAAGTCAGATAAATGTGTTTCTTACCAGAAAGCAACACAAATTTTTTCCCGGTTTAACTTTATCATTTTGCTCCTTTTGATGGGACTGTTTATACCAGTAACATTAAACGATTGTATATTGTGATACTGCATGATCATTAGTAAGTCTAAATCTGTATTCCTGTACCCGTAAAAATGTAACCCAGACCTCAAGTAACGAGAAAATGAGGTGGCTAAGATGTCATTTAGTTTGCATCGATTATTGTTATTGCCAAAGTTTTAGGTTATCAGAAATAATGTTAGGCTTTACTATGATCCTGCTCTTTATGTCCATACATAAACTATAATGAACCAAGATTCACTACTCATCCATCACCATATGCTCTCTTGGTTGTCGTGCGCGTTGCCGGCTCGTCGCATCCCAGCTGTGCTCCATGGTAGTAGGTTGGTTATGGTTTCCACGGTGAGTTCTTTGGATCTCCTCGCCGGTATTGGTCCCATGGTAAAGCCCCGCTTTCTGGAAATGGATCTTCTTTTTCTTAAGTGCTTGTTGAAGCGGAGTGTACTCCTTCCTCCTCTGATGTATGCTCTCGGCATAATCATGGTCAAAAAACACTCGCCTGTCTTGAACGCAAATATTTTTCTTCCAAGCAGCATTAAGGATTTTCTCTTTGACAGAACTGTAGAAACCGGACCACCATTGAGTGCGGTGAGGTGCCTGCAGGCTGCCGCGGGCCCAGCGCTCTGTGTGCTCCTTCGATTCCCAGACTCTTGTCCCGGTCCAGGTCAGTAATGTCCCCCAGTTCTGAATGGATCTGGTTTTCCACAAACTGAGGCATGGAGGAGCCTTCTGCGTTTTCTGGGATGCCGTAAATCCGTATATTGTTGCGTCGGGAATGGCCTTCTAAGTCCGTGATTTTAGCTTGGAGTGACTTCTGGTTGTCAAGCAGTTGGATCAGTGTCTTTAACTCCGATGTCCCACGTCTCTTTCCCGAGACTTATCCCAATCGTTTAGTTACCACCTCTATCTGGCCGGTGGCGGTTTCGATTTGCTGGTTAATTTCAGTTCTTAGTTCATCCAGTTGTGCTTTCATGTCATCTCGGAAAGTGAGTCGGTTTTGTGTCAGTTCTGTTTTCGTTTCTGATTTAAGCTCCCGCATGCACTCTGTCACCACCTCACTCACCACTATACAGAGGTTGCTGAGAGCAGCCCCATCCTCCATCTTGTCGCCTTTTTCACCGTTGCGAGTTTCGTTCACGTTGTCTTCTTTGTGTGTTTCTAGTTCTGTATTGCTCCGTAGACCATCTCTCCCTTTTTTTACCTTTATCACTTTAGTTGTGTTATATTCTTGAATCATGGGGAATTAGTTCTATTGATGCAAGAGCTCTTCTGTAAGCTGCCATGCTAGTAGGCAGGCCACCGGAAGTTCTGACTCATCCTGGAATTAATATTGATCAAATTCATGATTTCATACCTGTAGAACCTAACCGAGCTAAGAGCCCAGAAAACAAACTGTTAAGAATTTGATAATAGACTTACAGCAGGTTACAAAAAAGAAGCCTCTGTCTAACTACAGTTATCCAGTCTGGATTTAACAGAAAGTGTTGGTTCTCCATAACGTCTATTTGTATTTTCTGTGTCCTGCAGATGTCCAGCAGCTGTCGCTGAGTAAAGAAGAGGTTCCTCCTGAGCAGCAGCAGGAGTGGAGACCCAGTCTGGACCAGGAGGACCCAGAGCCCCCACACATTAAAGAGGAACAGGAGGAAGTCGGGACCAGTCAGGAGGGAGAGCAACTTCAAGGGTTCACATTCACTCCTGTCCCTGTGAAGAGTGAAGATGATGATGATGAAGAGAAACCTCAGTCCTCACAGCTTCATCAAAGACAAACTGAACAGATGGAAACAGATGATAGAGAGGACTGTGGAGGACCAGAGCCAGCCAGAAACTCAGATCCAGGTGAACATTTACAACCTGATACGGATGGTAAGACTGAAGAGACGTCTGAAACTGACGTCAGTGATGGTGATTGGAAGACAACAGAACCTCAGTCGGGTTATAGTAGATGTAAAAAGCCTTTCAGCTGTTCAATTTGTGAGAGAGGTTTTTCATCGAGAAAAAGTTTGAATTATCACATGAAAATCCACAAAGACAAACCTTTCAGCTGCTCAGTGTGCGGTAAACGCTTCAGTCTAAAGAGTGATCAGCAGGAACACATGAGAACTCACACAGGTGAGAAATCATTCAGCTGCTCAGTGTGTGGTAAAAGCTTTATTCAGAAGAGTAATCTGCGGTTACACATGAGAACTCACACAGGTGAGAAACCATTCAGCTGCTCGGTGTGCGGTAAAAGCTTTATTCAGAAGAGTAATCTGCAGTTACACATGAGAACTCACACTGGTGAGAAACCTTATGGCTGCTCAGTTTGCAGTAAATGCTTCACTCTAAACCGTAATCTGCAGGATCACATGAAAACTCACACAGGTGAGAAACCTTTCAGCTGCACAGTTTGCAACAGAAGCTTCAGTCAAAAGATTCATCTGCAGGAACACATGATAACTCACACAGGTGAGAAATTATTCAGTTGTTCAGTGTGCAATAAAAGTTTTACACTACAACGTACTGTGCAGAATCACATGAAAACTCACACAGGCGAGAAACCCTTCAGCTGCACAGTTTGCAACAGAAGCTTCAGTCAAAAGATTCATCTGAAGGAACACATGAGAACACACACAGGAGAGAAACCTTTTGGCTGCTCAGTTTGCAGTAAAAATTTCTCTATGAAGCATAATCTGCTTGAACACATGAAAACTCACACAGGTGAGAAACCATTCAGCTGCTCAGTGTGTGGTAAAGGCTTCAGTCAAAATAGTGATGTGCAGAGACACATGAGAACTCACACAGGGGATAGACCCTACCACTGCTTAGTGTGCAAGAAAAGTTTCAGTCAAAATAATCATCTGCATTCACACATGAGAACTCACACAGGTGAAAAACCATTCAGCTGCTTAGTGTGCAAGAAAAGCTTCAGTCAAAAGATTCATCTGCAGTCACACATGAGAATACATGAGTAGCAGCAGGCAATAAAGGAGCCTGTTCAACAAGTTATCTATCTGTTTAGTCGGTTTATATTATGTTCAGGAGCTTTAAAACAAAGTTTTTTGAGGGGTTTTTGCCACATTTGTCAGTCTTGGATACATTTAAGCCTTTACCTGAGGGGGATAATGATTCGGTTTTTGTTTTTATTTTGGTGTATGTTGGAGTCTCAGAATATGTAGCTCAGCCTGTTAGGTGTGACAAGAATAATGTTTTTTTCTTTTAAATGTATTTATTTATTACACAGAACCAGTCATTTTCATCCTATCTAAGAGTTTTGGAACCACACTGATTTGCTAGCTTTGTGCTATTAAATCATGTATTGTTGGCTAATATAAACGCTGTTTGTCATAATACATAAGTTTGTATCATGGATCATGTTAGTCATTTTGCAAGCTAACATTGACCATAGATAATATTTTGCTACCAATAATGTTAGCAAGTAAGCATATTAGGCCAGCCAGCTTGGGTGAAGGCTAGGCCTGTCTAACCCTTACTACTAGTCATAGGAAGGAATGTTCCTGGTAATCATGTAATCCTCAGTCTACAGTCCGTATGTAGGACTTTATGCACTTTATGGAATGGCTTTTAGTGCATTTAAAAGAATAATTTGGGGCACTGTTTTCCCACTAATTGTGTAAACCGATGGCCGATGTTTAATTTTAAATTCAATGCATAACAATAAGAGTACAGAACAGCTGATAAACTGAACAATGAACCCAAACAGTGACCACAATAAGTGCAGGAAATTTATGTAAAGCCAGAGATTTTATAATATTTGCTGTGAATATTGATCAGAGTTGTGTTTTCCTGATATTTTTATACAATTATCTGTCTGTATTCTGTATTTTCTATCATTTTTTAACAGCAATACATACTTCAAAAGCTTCTTTTATGACAAATTCAGTGTTTTCCTTTCCCTGATGCTTGTTCTAGTTGGTTGTTTTTACTTTTCCTATGCAGGATGAGCTTGTTTATATAGCTTGTGTTCAAGGTTTATATTATTTATTCTTCACAGAAATTAATGAAATGCTGAGATATAGGCTTGCTGTGTATATTTTTAAAGTTTTCTTACACCCCTTACAATCAAGAAGGTCTTTCGACCCATAGTGGGGGTCACGGCCCCCGGTTTTAGGGAATATAATCGACCATTTGAAATGCCAAACTTCTTTACCTCTTAAACACTTTACAGACTTATAACTCTGCAACATGGGGGTATCCAACGTGGTTCCTGAGGGCAGCTGGTAGCCTGTGAGTAGCCTATGAGTATTCACTGAGCATGTTCTGTAATCTTCTTAATCTTTCAAGGAAGTAGGAACTGGTTCTGTTGTGTCAGAACATTTAAATACATTACCAATATGTTTCATTAATTAAAAGTAGAGCAGATTTTTTATAAGACCCGACCTGCAACCACTCCAACAATGGTTCCGCCCTGTATATGAAAATTACTAAAGGTCAAAATCCACGCTGTGTGTTAAATCCAAACATGTTTCAAAAACCTATTCCACATGATGCAGGTGGCCCTGAAACATCCTCCCAGACACAAATAAAGTATTCAGTGCACATTCAATAAAATGAAACTTAGATTAGAGTAGGACGTTCCTCTTTGATAAAGCTTATAGTTCCTGAACCATCCCTTAGTTATGCTGCTATAGGCCTAGACTATCGGGGGATTTCCCATGGTGCACTGAGCTCCTCTCTTCCTCTCTCTTTCTGCACTCATTCATGTCCCATTAATGCATGTTACTAACTTCACTTCTTCCCCGGAGTTCTTGTGCTTTCTCATCTCGCAGGTTCTTATCGATCCTGGCGGAGCCTCCTGCCATGGTCCTGCTTGACTGCCATTGCTAATATCACTGATATTAGTGTTATTATTATTATTATAAGTATTATTATAGCTGCAGTTACTGTTGTTACTATTGTCACTGCTCGTTGTCCTCCATCGTTGCTGCCGTCATCATCTTGTTCTTTATGTTCATCATCATCAGTCACTACTATTAGTGTAGTTGTTGCTACTGTTGTTGTGCATCTCTCTGTCTCTCTCTCTCTCTCTCTCCCACCCACCTTGAGCCGAAGGATCTGTCCGATGTTTCTGCCTCTTAAAAGGAAGTTTTTCCTTGCCGCTGTCTCCAAGGTGGTACTGTTGGGTCTCTGTAAATGTTATAAGGAGTTTGGTCTAGACCTGCTCTATTTGAAAAGTGTCCTCAGATAACTGCTTTTATGAATTGGCGTTATGCAAATGAAAGTGAATTGAATTGAATATTACACCAACCCTTGCCCTTCCCTGTTACCTGTGAGAATTAATTTTACTGATTGTTTTTAAAGCCTTGAATGGTATGGCTATGGTACTGCTTGTAACACATTGTACCTGGTATTACATTAATACCAGGTACAATGTGTTACATATGACTATTACTTATCAGCTCCTGGTACTCTGTGCTAACTATGATATAGCTATACGAATTGTGGCCCCTGCCTGTCTCTAACCCACAGCCCCAACGCAGCCTCCATCCCGGGGGTAGCCCAGACACCCTTTAGAGTTTTCAACAGACACCAGCCTGGCTTTAAAAAAAAAAAGTGGAGGATTTCCATAACATCTGTTTTTTTATTTACTGTGTCCTGCAGACGTCCAGCAGCTGTTGGTGATTAAAGAAGAGGTTCCCCCTGAGCAGCAGCAGGAGTGGAGACCCAGTCTGGACCAGGAGGACCCAGAGCCCCCACACATTAAAGAGGAACAGGAGGAAGTCAGGACCAGTCAGGAGGGAGAGCAGCTTCAAGGGTTCACATTCACTCCTGTCCCTGTGAAGAGTGAAGATGATGATGATGATGAAGAGAAACCTCAGTCCTCACAGCTTCATCAAAGGCAAACTGAACAGATGGAAACAGATGATGGAGAGGACTGTGGAGGACCAGAACCGGCCAGAACCTCAGATCCAGATGAACATTCACAACCTGATACGGATGGTAAGACTGAAGACTCTTATGAATCTGAAACTGATGATAGAGACAATGATTTTAAAGAGACCAGGGAACCTCAGTCAGGTGATGTTACCAATATAAAGCCTTTGAGCTGTTCAGTCTGTAAGATATGTTTTTCATGGAGACAAGGTTTATGTAGACACATGAGAACTCAAACAGGTGAGAAACCATTTAGTTGCTCAGTGTGTCACAAAAGCTTCAGTCGTAAGAGTACTCTGCAGAGACACATGAGAAGTCATACTGGTGAGAAACCATTTAGCTGCTCAGTCTGCGATAAAAGCTTTGGATATAAGAGTAAGCTGCAGTTGCACATGAGAAGTCATACTGGTGAGAAACCGTTTAGCTGCTCAGTGTGTAGTAAAAGCTTCAGTCAAAAGGGTACTCTGCAGAGACACATAAGAAGTCATACTGGTGAGAAACCATTTAGCTGCTCAGTCTGCGATAAAAGCTTTGGACAAAAGAGTAAGCTGCAGAGACACATGAGAAGTCATACTGGTGAGAAACCATTTAGCTGCTCAGTCTGCAATAAAAGCTTTGGATATAAAAGTACTCTGCAGGATCACATGAGAACTCACACAGGAGATAAACCTTTCAGCTGCACAGTGTGCAATAAAAGCTTTGGACAAAAGAGTAATCTGCAGTTACACATGAGGAGTCACACATTCAGCTCAGTCTGCAGTTAAAGCTTCTGTATTAAAAGTACTATGCAGAGACACATGAGAACTCACACGAGCAGCAAGAAATGAAGAATCCTGTTCAGCTGTTACAGACTAGAAACTAGACATCAGAGATGCACCATGACATCAGAACAACAGTGTCTGGTGGCTAGGTCTGTAACTATTCTGAATCAGAGTGAGTGATGACAATGTGACAATGGAAAACAACTTTCTCCTCTTACGGGATCGCTGGCTAACAACTCAGCAAGAGTTTACTCATTTCTCCAGGAACCACTACACCACTGAACATAGTGGGCATAAATAGCTACGCACAGTTTAACTGTGTTCATGACTAAGCACCGGACTGCTTTACTTTTGTAAATGTAATGTATTGATCTGGTTTTATTGTTGTGATTTTGTTATGGTTTATGTTAGGTTACTGTGTTACTCATGTTCTACACTGCTATGGTGATCTTAGTTAAATGTTATGTTCCACACAGAAACAGTCTTTGTACAAGTAATTATTTTTAATTTGCCACTGTTCATATAAGATCACCTCAGCCTTTAACACAACCACACACAGCAGAGAGGACCTTTAAAACTCAGCGTTGTCTCTGCTGAACAAGCTCAACATACAGTGCAACACACCCACTCTGTTTTTGTTATTTAGTTTACTGCATTGTAGTTTGATCATATTGTGTATTTATACTTTATCTTTTTAATAAATGCTTTCAAATATACATGCTGGTTTATTAAATATTCCACAAACGTGAAGGATACCAACCTCTATGTTGAGCTACAAATCCTTCAGCTGACTTAATGTGAACATGATGAACTTAGTTATAGTTATTGAATAAATAGTGTTTCAGATTCATTGTCTTGTATATTCTATGAGACTGAGTATCATTCAGTTAATAGTTTTCCTTTGGGTGGTGTCCTTAGGAACTTCTAATATAATACTGTTGAAGAAAAATCATTCAAGTCCAGTTCAGGTTTGCTGTGGTGGTGTGAGTTTAATAATGCATGCCGTCATCCTGGTGAACTTACATACACAGAGCAGGTCTGAGCCGGTGAGCTGACCCAGAGCAAATGAAATAAGGTACTTTTATATATGGACCAATTCAATAGACAGTGTGTAAATGGTAGCTATTGATCAGGCAGTCAGCAGACGTTACATGATTAACATCGGAGTCAGAGGGAAGTAAGACAAAGTAGTGATCAGACCAAATGTGATGGAGACAAAGGGCAGCAAAGGTAGGTATGGGGGTTTAGTCAAGGGGGAAGGAATACAAGATTACACATTTAGTGAAGATCAAGGGACCCACACAGTATGGGTGGGGGGATTTTTTTTATATTTGTGAATGGAAAAACATATAAACTAATTGAAGTAAATTGAACTGAGAATTAAACTAAAATAGTGAATCAACTGTAACACTAAATTAAAGTGAACGTACTCTGAAAGTTAACTGAAACTAAATCTTAAACATTAATATAAATAACAGTAGTTCTGGTATTCAGTCATAATCAATCCCAAATAAAATCGTGGTTCTCTTCTATTGGTGGAACAGGTTAAGCTGTTGTGCAGTACATGATTTTAGTGGCTGTTTTAGTGTTAACTGATTTGTTTATGGATTTGAGACAGGAGAACAGGAGAGATATACCAATCAGGATTATACAACCAATCAAAACAAATAAATAAACTAAATAACCTAATGTCCCTAATTTTATTTGACCCAGTCTAGCAAACTGGTGGGGACAGGGTTATGTAGTTTTTTGGCAATATTTTCCAAATGGTTGGTATTTTCCTGTATGGTATAAATGTGTTCAGGTATAAATGTGCAACATTCAGTTAAAATGACAGAAATTTTTTCCTTGAGAGACCAGTAAATAATCCAGTGCAGCCTGGTTTTGTAAGGGCATCATTCTTATAGCAATCATTTCTTGTAAGAGGATGGACATTTCTTTTGCAGTAGAGTTTGCAAGATCTTCAACTGCATTAGAAAAGTCTCTTATTAGGGACCAAGCCCGCTGGAGGTCCCTATTGTATTTGCAATTTTTCTTCTTATTATTTTTAGTGCCTTTGACTGCGATTTTGCCCCCCCTGAACACATACGAAAACTCAATTTTATTTGGCAGAGTGGTCAGGCCTGGAGAAAAATTTTATATTCTATGTGTCGCTTTCAGGTTGGCCACTAGGTGGCGCTCTTATCATAAAAAATACGTTTAGGCTAATAACTGCATAGTTTGTCGCACATTCAAAATCCTTGTATCCACGCGTTCGGTGAATAGAGCTGAATCGCCGCATGTAAGTCCCGCCCACTTCCGCCTAGAATTGTTTTTTTCTAGAGTGCGAAATGTCCATAAACTACTTTTCCGTGTTCCTCCCATGTGCTTTGTCCGATTGGCACAAAATTTTTCACATAGCATGTGGGGACCGTCCTAATAAAAAAGTAATTAAAAGAATTTTGATATTAAAAAAAATAAGGACGTTATAAAATTAACACTTCCTGTGGATTTTTCGTCAAAAAAGGAAGTGGACCATTTCTCCACATTGCTATATCCGATTGTCACTAAACTTGGGTCCATGGTTCCACATGTCTTCCTTAGGCATCGTGCACAATTTCAGGTCATCGCCACTAGGTGGCGCTCTTTAAAATGAAGTTTATATCTCCATAACGGCACGTGTGATTGAAATGAAACTTGGTACGATGCTTGCCCATGGCTCCCTGAGGCTCGCTAAAAGATGTGTCAACAATCCACCACTAGGTGGTGCTCTGGTGGCATGATAAATCACTGTGCGGAGACCGTAATAGTTATGAATATGAAAAAAGGATAAAAAAAACAGCAGCCCCGGCGCCACGTTTCACCGATTTTTACGAAACTCGGTAGGCACGTGTAACATGCTGGGAAGTACAAAAAAGCCTCTTGGACCCATACCCGAAACCTCACTGGAAGTCGGCCATTTTGATTTAAAGTTTAACTTTCTGCGAACTTTTCGCGTTGTATTTGAACGAACTCCTCCTAGGGAATTTATCGGATCTCCTTCAAAATTGGTCAGTCCAGTCAAAAAATGGTCCTAATTAAAAGTTGTGCTATTTCTGCATGTACGTTGAAGGGCGTGTCCGTGGCGTGCCCTCAAAGTTGGCCAGGTTGAATAGAATGTCAAACTGTGATGCCATTTCCGGCATTACTCAGACTTCCAGCTTTTTTTTGCGTTGTATTTGAACAAACTCCTCCTAGAGAATTTATCGTATCTGCTTCAAAATTGGTCAGTAGAGTCAAAAAACATTGCTGACTAAAAGTTGTGCTATTTGTTCATGTACATTAAAGGGCGTGTCCGTGGCGTGGCAGCAAAGTCAGCCATTTTAAATTCTGTGGTCATACAAATTGAGTTGAGATATTTGTGAATGAACTCCTCCTAGGGAATTTATCGGATCTGCTTCAAAATTGGTCAGTCCAGTCAAACAATGGTCCTGATTAAAAGTTGTGCTATTTGTGCTTGTACGTTGAAGGGCGTGTCCGTGGCGTGCCGTCAAAGTTGGCCACTTTGAATTCTGTGGTCATACAAACTGAGTTGAGCTATTTGTGACTGTACATCAAACTGCGTGCCAGTGACAACTTGTCAATTTCAGCAGATTCGCCATAAAATAGTACTCATAACTTCAGTGTGCAATGTCCAATCTTCAATAAACTTCATATAGTCTGAAACAGTTTTGCCCTGAACACGTCCTCATAACTTCAGCATACGTGCTCCAATCTCAATGAAACTTCACGTGTTTGATAACAGTCTCGCCTTGAACATGTCTACATGACAACATTCAGACATAGTGATAGCGCAACCTACTGGCAACAGGAACTAAGCGCTGCGTGGCATTTTTGAGCTGAGTTACGTGAAATGACTGTGCCAGTGACGACTTGTCGAATTCAGCCGATTCGCCATAAAACAGCACTCATAACTTCAGTGTGCAATGTCCAATCTCCAATAAACTTCATATATTCTGTAACAGTCTCGCCCTGAACACGTCCTCATAACTTCAGCGTATGTGGTCCAATCTCAATGAAACTTCACTTGAGTTATCACAGTCCCGCCCTGAACTTGTCTACATGACAACATTAAGACATAGTGATAAGGCCACCTACTGGCAACAGGAAGTAAGCGCTGCATGGCAATTTTGAGCTGATTTACGAGTGATTTTCATGTCGTGGTCCGCACGTGTTACGACGGCACGCAACGCGGCCACAGCACGCCCCAAGTTGCGTGGAGTGCGAGGTGCCGCTCAACGCTGCTTGCAGCTTTAATTTGATCTAAAGTTGCCATGACTCCATAATCTGGAAACGAGAGCACTAATACTGGCTGGTCTCACATGACCTAGACCACATACTCCAGACTATCCCTTTTGGTAAGTACTCCAGTCCTTCCAGAAAAATGCGGAGTTTTTTTGTGATTGTTGCGGGCAAAAATCCTTGATTATGTGGCACATTTTCTTAAAAAATGCGATGGAATATTTATGCAATTTTATGCTATGAAATTGCGGGAACTTGCAAAAATTGCAGGAACTTGCAAAAATTGCAGGAACTTGCAAAAACTGCAGTTTGATGAAAAAGAGAAAAAAAAGTGATTCCCCAACACCCTGTTCTCACTAGGCTACTACCTTAATGTAAAGAGTCATTTCTTATTACTTCCTATGATAAGCAAGCATACTACATCACAGAAAGTGCTGGGAATATTTAAGTTCTCATCTTGTTTTATTTTAGACCTTAATAAACACATGGCTCAAACATGGCCCGGACACACCAACCCGATTATCGGCCGTCGGACGTCATCGGACAGTCAGGCGAGGTTGGTGACTCGAGTCGGTTCGGTGTGTCCCGTGCCATCGTCAGTCGGAGTCGGCGTTCATTTTTGCCGATTCGACGTGTAGAATCGGCCAGTGGCTGTCGGCCTCAATGACCAATCTGATTGGTGGAGTGCTAGCCCTTGACTAGCGAATCAGTGAGTGCACGAGAAAACCGGAAGTGACGATGGTAAACGCCAGTATCTTGTTATTATTAGCCATTGTGTTTTCCGTTCAGCAAGTAATGACAATAACGATCCTTCTTGACTACTATCAACACTCTCTGATTAAAAATTATGACTGACGACAGCGTGCTCTGTGTTTACTAGGTCTAGAGTGATCCGTCATTTCCGGTTTTCATTTTTTTTGGGCGACATTAGCGCCGTCCTCCTGTTATGGGGACGTATTACGCCTCGCGCACACGCAGAACGTACGCTCCAGTCGGCGTCGGTTTGGTGTGTTCGAAGGCACTTTTTTGATCGACTCGGGGAGATGGGAGCCGACTGATCAGTCTGACTGCTTTTCTGCCAACGGTCGGCCGTCGGGTTGGTGTGTCCTGGCCTTAACAAAACATTGATGAGTCAAACAAGTTCTGTAGCTTTACAAAAGGAATATGCTTCAACTTCTGTAAAAATGAATAAATCAAATATAAAAAAATAAAATGTGTGCTTCCTGTTTTACAGAGGTAGCTATACAAAACAGACATCTTCTGTTAAAATAAGTGCTTCCAATGCACAAAGTGCAATCTCTTACTGTAACGTAAATTTAGATGATACTAATATACTTACAACTGTAAGGTTTTTGAAACTAGTATGATTTAACCCACTGGTAACAAAAAGGGCAATGTTACAACTGTAAAGTTGCATCAGCTCCTGAATGAAACTACAACAGTCCACTGTGAAAAT